ACCTTTTAAGTTGCATTACTGAAATAAATGAACTTTTTACGTTATTCAAATTTTTCGAGTTTCACCTGTAGAGTTTGCTGCCACACTGCAAAAGGAAAAAATTATAAAAGGGACTAGATACTCCAAAATGTGTGCGTCAGAGAGTGAGCTATTTTTCAAGAACAGCTAGCTCCATCCAGGTAGTCTGTCCATTTGTGATGTGGCTGTGGACAATGATATGTTAGGGGTGTCCAAACTTTTGATTTCCCTGGGCCGCACATAAAAGTACACTAATAATAAAGTTAGCTGATGAGCAAAAAAAAGTCAGGCAGATCACAAGTTAACAAATCACTGATATAGATAATGTACCTGTCTGTGTAATAAAACCATTTTTTTTTTGTAATCTGTTTTATTATAAAAAGTGGGCAACATAAAAACGAGTGCAATATTTGACACCCGGTTTTAATAAACGAATGCATTGATATCTGGTTCGATGGATATGAATCGATACTCAATGAATTCTCAAAAGGTGTTCATCACATGTTGGTTCAAATTTTGCCCTTCATATGCTTCATCCTTGTAAATAGTTGCTCACAAATATAGCTGCAGCCGAAAACTGATGATATGAAAGACATGATTGTGAAGGTTGCAATATTTTTCTTTAGGAAGATTAAACTTATAAAAGTCCAGTAAAGACAGACTGTCATTTACACTCTAAATACATGAAGAAAAAAAAAAAATAAAGGGTGCAGCGCTTTAGAATGAAGATAATCAAAATATAGCATATAATGTAAACATATAACTTATAATAAAGTGCAAATCAATAACGTGACTCAGTGTGTCAAACAATATTTGTCACTATGCGTGATCAGAAAGGTGCATAAATAACGTGCAAAAGACTCAATAATAGCCGTATAAAATATATAAAAAAAACATATATCCATGTCACTGCATTGTGACCACACGTGTATATATGAAAACATAGTCCAAAATAAATGGGAATCAATCCAAATATATAAGATGCATGGAAGATCACAAGGATTTCTGACAACTGGTAATAACATCCAGTAGGTGATGGTGTATCCAAACTAAAAAGATTGCGCACTCACCAGATGTGCAATCAGTAAGCGCATTTAAGAGATAACACTCTTAGTAACAACGTTGGAAGCTCTTCCGGATTGTGGTCTGGTCTGCTGTCTCTTACTGCTCAATCAGCTGTCTGTCATGGCTCTAACCATCTTTCACGTGGCTCTGCGGGTGATGGGAATTTCACACAGAGCCCTAGAAAGAGGAGGCCAATAGCGTGATATTGTTTCCAAAATATTACATTTATTGTAAAATCCAGCAAGCAGATATATAGAAAGAAGCAAAGTTACTGACCAGATACAAGAATCAAGATGGCCACCAGGACCCACGTGGCGCTGGCAGCGTGACGTCACTGCACTGTAGCTCCTCACTGGCGCGTTTTGTGCAATGGCACAATCATAGGGGGTGTGCTTACAGTGCTTGACACACCGTTCCTTTATAGTAAAAATGGCGCATGCGCGATAAGCGCGTGCCATTTTGTTGAAGTAAAATGTCCCTGAATCGGGTGCCATTTTGTTATAGGCGACCGAAGACACATGCGCGAGCGCCATTACATCGGAGAAAGAGACATAAACAGTACCATCCAGACCACCAGGAAATATTTAAACATATCGCAGCCACAAAATAGTTCCCAGTTATTAGGAAATAATATAATGGTAAGTGTGGCAAACCTGTAGATAATAGGGGTTGGTTATAAGGGCCAAATATGGACTTTGAATAAATAATAACCACGTGCATGCACAGAAAAAACTTCCCCGTGATGGCAACTGCAACTATGTGGGAATAACCCTTATTGCAGAGATTCAACAAAGACAATGTTTAGCGTTTGCAACAAAGGTGCAATTATAATATCATGGTCCTCTAAATGTTAATAATGACTGGTGTGAATGGTGGCACTAAAATATGTACATTTAATATACATTAAATAACATACTTCTTAAACACGGTTATAAACATATAGGTCAGATAAGTAAACTAAATAAATAAAATCCTTCATATACATAGTAGATATAATATACATAGTATTAATAAATATAAATCTTTATTAAAAAAATGGAATAAATGTTTATCTACATGTAAAAAATATTGAAAATATTAAAATTATTAAAAATATTAAAATTTGCAATAACCGTAGTAGGAGTACAATAAATGAAGGTAAAATAGGAGGATAAATTAGGAGACTATGAACAATGATAAACTCAATAAATTACACCCATAAAATTCTTCCGGAAAAAAATTCAAAAATGTAAAAAACAAAACCATATAGGAGGTAAAAAAAAAAATCAGCTATTGTCAATAAAACAATTGATGTCCATATCGACATTTAATCCTCTAGGGTGCATGGATCCCATCTCAAAAATCCACCTGGATTCCATTTGCGATACTGCTCTCTTTTTATTAGTGCCCCTCCATTGGTTCTGTACAATATCTATGCCCATAAATGACAAAGATGAAGGATCTCTATTGTGGAGCAGCCGATAATGCTTAGAGAGGGAATGTTCCTTAACCACTTCCCGACCGGCGGTTGTATATAAACGGCCGGACGGTGGCACTGCAGGGTCGGGTGGCCCTCTATAAAACGGCCTCCCTGCACCCTGCTTGTGCGCGCTCCCTGGGAGCGCGCAGCACCGCGATCCGGTGCCCGCTGTGTCCTCCGGACACAGTGAAACACCGATCGTCGGACGGGACCTCTGTACGAGGTCCCGATCATGTGATCACTGATTGGCCAATCAGTGATCACATGCAAAGTAGTAAGCAAGATGTCACTTCTGACATCATTGCTTACTATGTGTGAAATCTGTGAATGATCACAGAGGTCACATGGTACAAGGCTATTCACAAAAGCCTTGTACCATGTGACAAGCTGTGACCAATCACAGCTCACTCTGTATTTCTCAATGAGTGCAGGAATGCACACAGAGAGAAAGAGAAATGATTGCTTTT